GGGGGGGGAATTATTTATTTATTTTTAGTTATTTTTCCAATTCATACCCCACCCTCCCTGCCAAAGCAGGCTCACGGTGGCTTACATAAAAGTAAATACGTAGACGACAACTAAATCACCACAAAGACATCTAAAACAGTTCACTATAAAACAGTGCGGCATCATAAAGTGCTAGCAGTGTTGTTTTAATTTCATAGCAATGGCGTTACCATATGAATGCATTCAATAGATTATCTAGATGTTCAGCTCACTGATCCCCCCCCCATATAATCGGCAGGCACAGGCTGTCAACAGCAAACCAAGGGCCAGGTCTCTATAAAGGTCAGTTGTTCATAATGGGTGCTTTGGAGGGTGGACTCCGTGATACTGTACCGCACTGAGGTCCCTGTCCTCCCCAGGCTCCACCCCCCCCAATCTCCATGAGATTCCCAATGTGGATCTGGCAACCCTACACCCATTACCCCTGCTGGTGGCCGAGGGGTGACCTGGCACCCCTAACCTTTGAGCCCGCCTCCTGTCATTGATGGGCAGTACCTACAGCTGGAAACACAGATGGCAGAATGCTTGGAAAGCAAGCACATGGGGGAAGGGTGGGCAGTCAGCGGGGGGAGTGCATAGTCAGTGGGGGTAGGCCATGGGCAGCTGCCCTACATCAGGATGCCAACCCTGGGAATGATATCTGCCAGTGCTCCCCTCCTGTGGGAGATCTCTGACTCCCTGAAGCTTTTCTTGGGCGTCCCCCATCCCCCAGAAGCAGCACTGAGGTGGCATTTTGGGTTGCCCCAGGAGGAGGGAAGCAGGGAATGCTAAACAGGATTCAGCTAGGGTTGCCAATCTCCAGGTGGTTAGGGGAGAGCTCATGGGATTACAACTAATCTCCAGGAGACAGAGATCGGTTCACCTGGAGAAAATGGCTGCTTTGGAAGGTGGACTCTATGGCCTTATACCTTGCTGAGGTCCCTCCCCTCTCTAAAACCCCACCCTCCCCAAGGCTCCACCCCTAAAAGCTCCAGGTATTTCCCAACCCAGAGCTGGAAACCCTAGATCCGGTATCTCCACCACTGTAATGTCTATAAAATATACCGGTATCTCAGGGGTCATTTTGTAGAAAAAGAGGTGCAGGAGCTCATTAGCATAACTCATTAGCATAACTCATTTGCATATGCCACACCCCCTGACATCACCGGAAGTGTGTCAGAGGGCAACACCCACTGCTCAGTCTCCACTGGACTGTTTTGGATTGCTAGCTACTGGAGGGGGGGACATGCAGATCTGTCCTCACAGAGGAGGGAGAGCTTGTACCTGAATAAACCTTGGTCTTAAAGGTGCCACTGGACTGTTTTGGACAGGGGGGCCCGGGGGGCCGGGGGGGCTCTACAGCTTACCTGGCTGCTCCTCGCTCTGACTGAGGGCCGCTGGGAGCAGGGGGTGGGGCTTGTTGCATGTGCCTGCCCCCTGGGCTCTTTACTGCCGGAGCTCCGCTCCTATGCGCTCCTGCAGGAAATGACCCCTGGTATTGTAACTCTACTGCAATAGCTACAGTGCAATCCTAAACAGTTACAACATTTAGTGGACTTCTGATTACATTGCGTATAGGATTGCCAAACTCATGTTGGGAAATTCCTGGAAATTTGTGGCGGGAGCCTCATGAAAGTGGGATTTGGGGAGGGAAGTTACCTCAGCGGGGTGTAATGACATCGAGCCCACCCTCCAAAGCGGTGGTAATCTGGAGGTCAGCTGTAATGCTGGGAGGTCTCCAGGCCCCACCTGGAGTTTGGCAATTCTGTTGCCGTCGCATGGTGGGTCAAAGCATGAACGAGGTGGAAAGGCCTTGATGCAAGTCTTACCTCCCCTGTGAAGTCACTAGATGATCAGCAAGCTAATTCCTGCAATCAGGCTCATCAAGTATAACTGCAAGCCTGCAGCCGGTGTGTACAAACAAGCCATGTCACAGACTGAACACCAGAGAGAGCTCTCGAACCGATTCAAACATGCTGTGCTTTTGTAATGGGTACAATCCACACTGGGACTGTTCTGAATTTTTTGCTGTGTTAGGGGTTTTGCAGTGGTGGTAAAATCATGGCCACCACCGTGCAAATAACACCAACACTACTAAGAATGATCAAGGTGGACAGCCGTGTTGGTCCGAAGCCACAGAACAAAGTTAGGGTCCAGCGGCACCTTTAAGACCAACAAAGTTTTATTCAAGATGCTGTTTCCTACTTTCATGACAACACCAGACCAGCTCTCAAGGAAAGCGGTTTCCACGCGGCTACAGGGAAGTCAGCCAGAGGACCTTACAATTGACAGCTCTAAACTGTCAATGAGGCACACAAATTACGCCAAATTAAGGCAGCAAATTGGTACTTCTTTTGCTTCTTTACCCAATCAGGGTGATTCCTGGACAGGAACAATGAAACTGCGAAGACAAGGATAGGATTTGGACTTTTTGCTGTGCCCCTTTAGAGTTCTTACTCGGAGTGAATGTTTGTACGAAGTTTCAGTGTGTTCGTTTAATCAATGCTTTCTTTCCCATTCCACTGTTCCTAACATGCAGGGCCGACTTATCCATTAGGCCCAGTAGGCCCAGTGCCTAGGGCCCATGATATTTTCAGGGGCCCACAAAAATGTTTTAATTGTTTAAAATAATAATAATAATAAAAAAGAACGTTTAGGGTCAAAGAAAATGTTTTGATTCTTTTTTCACATCAGAAAAAAATTGAAAAGTTAAGGCCCATGAATCTCTATTGAATGTTGCCTAAAACAGAAAAAAAATGTTGGATGTAAAATCATAGAGAAATAATTATTAATATTGATATTATGGTGGGAGGGGCCCACAAAGGCAAAAGCGCCTAGAGCCCACAAAAGTCATAATGGTCCCGGTCACACAGGCCGGAAAATGCGCGGGGGGGAGCGTGGCTGTTTGCCCCGGAGCAAAGTAATGCGTGGCAGCCCGATCGCATGTCCCATGGAGGTCACGTGTGTATGCCGTTAGGTGCCGATCACATGGCTATCCTGCAGCGCGGCAAAGAAGCGGCGTGGCAATCACTAGGCGCTGCTTCCGTTGCAAACGGATTTTCCCCCCTCACCACAGTGTGCGCATGTGCCGGTGGGCGTTTGTGCACATCCTATGGAGACTTTAAAAAAACCCAACATCTGGTTTGTGATGGGACATGGGCGGGCGCTGGATGCCACGGGATTCCAGCAGAAACGCGATCAGACGCCCGCCCTTGCCCCGCGTTTTCCGGAAACTAGCACATCATATGTACTAGTTTTTTACTCCATATCTTCAGCAAGAATCCACGGGTTAGCCATGGGTGCATTATGCTTCCCAGATGTTGCGGTGTGATTGCACCGAGAAAATCCACCTATCATCCATATCTTTAGCGTGGCAAATGCTCCGTGTGAACGGGACCAATGCAGCCCTGCTAACATGTATAGATTTGCCTGCATTACTTTCATTTTAGTATTTGAACTCCAGTCTACAGAAATGCCATGCATTCCCATTTTTTCACATTCAGGAGTGATTTCCTTAGAAAGCCCTTTCCCAATCTTTCTGAAAATTTGCAGAGACCATTCCTAGGGCCCGCTCTGTATTCCTTGGGACTATGAGGCCAATTCTGTAGAAAACAATCACATTACATTTAGGGATCAATGCGAGGGAGGGGCTGTGGCCCACTGGCAGAGCATCTGCTTGGCATGCAGAAGGGCCCAGGTTCAATCCCTGGCGTCTCCAGTTAAAAAGACCAGGTAGTAGGTGATGTGAAAACCTGTGCCTGAGACCTTGGAGAGCTGCTGCCAGTCTGAGTAGACAATACTGATCTTGATGGACCAAGGGTCTGAGTCAGTAGATTGCAGCTTTGTGTATTCATATATGTAGAAGTTCAAATTTGATTTATGTTTGGGTTGAATGATTCCTGTATTGGGGTTGAACCATTTCTCCATGAATTCCGGTACATCAGTAGAGCCACACTTTGAAAACAGATCACACGGCTTACCAATGCTTCCTGCTACGGTAGCGCCTCCATGTATGTGGATGATTCCCCTTCGTAAACTCTGTGGTGCTTTGGGCTGGTATACCCTCACCGGTACACCCTTAATGGCCACATCTTTGATGATGAGCTTTGGATCTCTAAACACAAGTTTCCCCGTGATATCCATAACTGATCTCAGGAACACATACTGATTGAAGAGACCTACTTTCCATAAGATGTAGTCCTGTATGCAACAAGGAGGAAAAATTATGCTATAAGGTTAGATACACTTTTCATTTTTACAAATATGCATTTGGAAGCATTAATATTCGCATTGGCATATGCCATTGATTGATGAAAATTGCCCAAAATATTATTAAGAGGAGGGGGAGGGTTACCCCTAGGAGAAGGTAGGGATAGGATTATAACGAAAGCTGCAGCCTAAGTTTAATGCTGTTCCATTTGCAGAAATTAAATGCTGTTCCATTTGCAGTGGTGCATCATGGGGCTGGGCCCCCCGACTTCCTGCTCATGCCTCCCGACTTCTCATCCAGCTGGTTTATTTTTTTTCACATGCCCTGCTGGTACACCCCCCCCCCATTGCCTTTTAAAAATACTTTTACTCTCTCGTCACTCCTGACACAGCCTGGGGGGGGGAGTGATTTATTTAAATGCCCCCTGAAGTTAAAAAAAAATATTCCTGGCTACGGCCCTCAAATCTGTTGATTTGCGAGTATAGTGATGTAACTTAGAGATATATCCCCAGGGGTCATTTCCTGCAGGAGCGCACAGGAGCGGAGCTCCGGCAGTAAAGAGCCTAGGGGGTGGGCACATGCAACAAGCCCCACCCCCTGCTCCCAGCAGCCCTCAGTCAGAGCAAGAAGCAGCCAGGTAAGCCGCAGATCCCCCCTGCTGCCCCCCCCCACCCAAAACAGTCCAGTGGCACCTTTAAGACCAAGTTTTATTCAGGTACAAACTCTCCCTCCTCTGCGAGGACAGATCTGCATGTTCCTCCCCCCCCAATAGCTAGCAATCCAAAACAGTCCAGTGGAGCCTGAGCGGTGGGTGTTGCCTTCTGACACACTTCTGGTGATGTCAGGGGGGGTGAAATATGCAAATAGGTTATGCTAATATGTTCTGCTAATGAGCTCCTGCACCTCTTTTTCTATGAAATGACCCCTGTATATCCCTATAGGGACATAGAGGAGTAGAGTTTACAGAGGGTCCCTGCTGGCTAGGAGGCAGGATTTGCAGGCAGTAGGACTCCGGGAGCATCCTGGGAAGCTAGGAAAATACTTGGGGGGGGGGTTAGCAATAAACTATTATATTTACTTTTGTGTGCCCATCATATGATTGAACCCTAACTTATTACAGTGAGTACCAAGGGCACTCGTGCCTGACCTGGTTGGCCCAGGCTGTCTGGGTCTTGCCAGATGTCTTTAACGGCCTTTAAAAACCTCCCTGGTGATGCAGAGGCCCGGTACAATTGGACAGGTACTGTTTTTTCACTTTGGATTGGTGTGGTTTTTTTGGTTCTGTCTATTGTTTTTAGTGTTTTTCCCCATGTTATTTAAAATTAATTTTTAAGTCTTTAATGTTTTATGTGTTGCATTTCATTGTTGTTATACTTGTTGCAAACCACCCCAAGAGCTTCTGTTATGGGCAGTATAGAAATGTAAAGAATGGATGATGATGATGACCAGGGGTCGTTTCGTAGAAAAAGAGCTAGGGGAACTCATTAGCATAACTCATTAGCATATGCCACACACCCTGACATCACTGGAAGTGTGTCATAAGGCCACACCCCCTGCTCCACTGCAAGGCCGGCAGGAGTGCAAGGAAGCCCCGCGAAGGCCCTCCCTGGCCCCAGGCAAGGGTGGGGAGAGGCAGGGAGAAAGCAACTTACCCTCCCTCTTCTCCTGCCTCCTCCTGGCTGAATGAGGGCCGGAAGCGGGGCGGCCGGAAGCAGGGGGCGGGGCTTCGTCATGTGCCCCGCCCCCGTACCTCACCAGGAGGAATTGCGAACCCCCCCGATCCCCCCCGAAATGACCTCTTATGACGACGATGATGTCAGAAGCTAAGCAGGGTCAGACCTGGTTTGAATGTAGATGAGAGACCACCAAGGAAGTCACGGCACCATGAGAGTTTCGTTACTTTTACGAGCTCGACTTAGGAGGACATTGTGAACATCCCACAGCCTAGTGCAGCTCTCTAACCACTACACATTTATTTATTTATTTATTTATTTATTTGTTTATTTGATTTATACCCCGCCCTCCCTGAAGGCTCAGGGCGGCTAACAAGACGGCACAAATGCCAACATTAAATCAGATAACAAACAAGATAACACAATATAATACAATCCAATAAAGTGTTGGTGCTCTGGGTATCACATCAATCATTCATCCCAAAATGGAGTTAATCCCAAACCAGCACATGTTCCAGTAGCACTGTCATCCCTTCTCAATCCAGGGTCGTCTCACATTAATGTTTCCCCCCATGTTATTTTAAATTAATTTTTAACTCTTAATGTTTTATGTGTTGCGTTTCATTGTTGTTATACTTGTTGTAAACCACCCCGAGAGCTTCTGTTATGGGCAGTATAGAAATGAAAAGAATGGATGATGATGATGATGATGACCAGGGGTCGTTTCGTAGAAAAAGAGCTAGGGGAACTCATTAGCATAACTCATTAGCATATGCCACACACCCTGACATCACCGGAAGTGCTGGGGCACATCACCCTCGATTATGGTAGTGTAGTGGCTAAAAAAATAAACTGTGATCCAAAAAGTCTCTGGTTCATAGCTTAGCCCCTCCAAGGGCTTATTTGGCAAGCCATTCCATCCTGGTGGAACATTGCCCTCAAATCTCCAAATTAGCCTACTGGATTTCAAAAAGGAGAACTGCATAAAATTGTGGGGACTAGTTAGAATGAGCCCTGAACTGGCCTAGGCTAACTAAGTTTTGTCCGATGTTGCAAGCTAAGCAGGGTCAGCCCTGAGTACTACTTGGATGGGAGACCACCGAGCAAGTCCAGGGCGGCTATGCAGAGGCAGGCAATGGCCGACCACCTCTGAACATCTCTTGCCTTGGAAACCGTGTGGGGTCACCATCTGTTGCGGCTGCAACTTGATAGCCAAAAAAAAAAGAGTCAGAATGAAGCCGGAAGGCAAAATCAAGATTGTCAGTTGCCTCCAGGATGCCTGGAAGTTATTTAAGCCCATATTGTTGTTGTTGTTCAGTCGCACAGTCGAGTCCGACTCTTCGCGACCCCATGGACCAGATCACGCCAGGCCTTCCGGTCTTCCGCCGTCCTCTGAAGTTGGCTCAACTTCATGTTCGTTGCATCTATGACACTGTCTAACCATCTCATCCTTTGCCGTCCCCGTCTCCTTTGACCTTCAATCTTTCCCAGCATCAGGGTCTTCTCCAGTGAGTGCTCCCGTCTCATTTGGTGGCCAAAGTATTTGCGCTTCAGTTTCATTATCTGGCCTTCCAGGGAACAGTCAGGGTTGATTTCTTTTAGGATTGACTGATTTGATCTTCTTGCAGTCCAAGGGACTCTCAAGGGACAAAACGTACACCAGCCTGCTTAATGACCCAAGTCAAGGAAGCCATAAAAGAGGGGGAAACCCTTTTAAAGATGGAAAGTTTATCCAAATTGGTGGTGGTAGAAAGAGTTGTCAAGTTGCAGCCGACTTATGGTGTCCCCGTAGGGTTTTCAAGGCAAGAGACATTCAGAGGTGGTTTCCCATTGCCCGTCTCTGCATTGTGACCCTGGACTTCCTTGGCGATCTCCCATCTAAATATTGGCCAGGGCAGACCCTACGTAGCTTCCAAGACCTGACAAGATTGGGCTAACCTGGGCTATCCAAACTAGGTGACTAGAAAAGAACATATTCTGGCAAAACAAATGTAAGCTAACAATTAGGCAGGCAAAAAAGAATATTTGAAGAACAGATTGCCAAAACACACACACACATTAAGACAAACTGTGGTGGTGGAATGTGGCATTAAGCCAGAGCTGACTTCTGGTGACCCCTGGTGGGGTTTCCAAAGCAAGAGACTTCAGAGGGGTTTGGCCATTGTCTGCCTCTGCGTCATGACCCTGATATTCCTTGGAGGTCTCCCATCCAAATACTAGCCAAAGCTGACCCTGCTTAGCTTCCAAGATCTGATGAGATTGGGCTAGCCTGGGCTATCCAGGTCAGGGCAAGGCAAACAGTAGGAATTCATATATATCAGGAGCAGGAAACTGGTCAAGGAGGCAGTTGGGTGACACAGAAATGAACACGTTTCTTAAGGAAGACCAGGAGATGGCAGACAAACCAAACGGATTCTTTTCATCTGCTATCACTGTCAGAAAAACAGGACATCTTACCGCTCATGGTAGAGTACTTGTTGCTTAGCCTAGAATTAAAAACAGGGCCTTGTGGAACTTATTACAGTCCCGCAGGGCCTGCAAAATGGAGCTGTTCTGCCAGGATTTCAGTTAAGGCATTGGGCACCCAACAAGCTGGCAACGGAGCCCATAAAGAGATTGCCCTGCATACAGGTAGTCTGGATCATCTACCTATGGAGTCTTGGGGTTATGTAGATGTGACTCCAGTATAGGGTTGCCAAGTCCTACCTGTTGCTGCAGCGGGGGACTCCTGGCTCGCTCCTGGATTGCACGCACGCAAAGACGACCCGTGCGCTGCAACCACGTCACCCGGAAGTGATGCGACCACGCCGGGCACGCTGGGGGCGGGGCCATGACCATCCGAGGGGAAACCATAGAGTTTGCCCTCGGATGACCGTGGCCCCTCCCCCAGCATGTCTGGCGTGGTCGCGTCACTTCCGGGTGACGTGCATGTCGCGTACTTTGGGGGTGGGGTTCCCCCCGGGGCCCGATCCGCCTGCGGTGGGAAACGGGCCTCTGGGGCGGGGGTTTCCCCGCCCCCCGGAGGGACTTGGCAAGCCTACTCCAGTATCATCTATCTGGTTTCTGGTGGGGTTGAATTATTGCTTGCCATCTCTTAACTAATTAAGAAGAAGAATAGAAGAGATTTATACCCTGCTCTTCACTCAAAGCAGTTTAGAAACTCCTTTCCCTTCCCCTCCTCACAACAGACACCCTGTGAGGTAGGTGGGGCTGAGAGAGCTCTTTCAGGAACTGCTCTTTCAAGAATAGCTCTGACAAAACTATGGTATGCCCAAGGTCATCCAGCAACTGCAAGTGGAGGAGTGGGGAATCAAACCTGGTTCTCCCAGATTAGAGTCTGCACACTTAACCACTACATCAAACTGGCTTGCTGTTTCTGGTTTTCGTTGTTTTTAGATTAATTGTGTTCACTGGTTTTTATTTTTATACACTTTGCTGTTTCCTGCCCTGAGCCTGTTTGGGAAGGATGGGATAGAAATTCAATTAATTAAATAATTAAATACATTTATTCCTTTAAAAGCTCTTATCCCGCTTTATCCCCATAAAGATTTAATACAGCTTACATAAAAAAGCAAAAACATCATCCCACCGTACAACATAAAGCAGCAAAACGTAATTTGCCACCCAGAAAGAATCACAATTGAATCATCTAAGCCAAATCCAATAACACAGAAGTAAAAAATGTCTCCCTGATTCTGTAAAGCAGAAGGGGAGCATTTAGATCAATTTGTGGTATCTTTTTAAAACATTCTTTGTAGTCCCTCTTTCTCACTGGGACTCCAGACAGATTACACAGAATAAGGCGAATCCAATCAACAGGAGGGGGGGATGTCCAATAAATGGTGCAATAGGATATGAATGGCAGAAATCTGAAACAGCACTGAAACAAAGCGTGATGCATTAAACGAAGCGAACATTACGTAAAGGATGTAGAAAAACACGGTGGGTCGGAATGGCCTTTGGGGGGGCATTTTGCAAAGTGAACAGGAGTCTCACTTTAAGATCTGTACATTTTAGGCAACCTTTGTTGTTGTTTGGCTTTTTAAAAAATCGTGCATTGTCTGTTGCATGCATTAGGCTGCTTGCATTGCACTTCCCCCCCCTAATTTTGTCATCCATTTCTTGCAACATTTGTAGCATACATGTCTAACAATTTTAACTGCACTGTCTGCATGCATTACATTGCTCTTATTCCATTGTCTTCTCATCTCATAATGATCCTTGAGTCCCAGTAAGAAAGGCCAGACTATGAATGAAGTTAGAAAACAAATAAATAAAAGAGTAAAATGTTATTAGTGCAATCCTATGCAAATCCCTTGATTTTAATAGCCTGAGATGGGAGTAATTCCACAGGGGATGCCCTCAGAAGATCTGCTTTGGAGAAGTTCCTAAAAGAAGGGGGGGGTTCTGTCTCACAAATGGAGGAGGCATTTTTCCATAGTGATGAAGCAGCCATTGGAAAAAAGATAAGAAAGTGGAGAGGAACCCATTTCACTGATCTTTTCTTTTTTCGTGATTCTTAATCCTAGTCCCTAATACCAGGCCTGTAAGTAAAGGTAAAGGTTTCCCTTGCTCGAAAGCCAGTCAAATCCGACTCTAGGGTTGCGGTGCTCATCTCCGTTTCAAAGCCGAAGAGCCAGAGCTTTCCGAAGACGTTTCCGTGGTCATGTGGCTGGCATGACTAAACACCAAGGCGCACGGAACGCTGTTACCTTCCCACTGAAGTGGTACCTATTTATCTACTTGCAATTTCTTGCTTTCGAACTGCTAGGTTGGCAGGAGCTGGAACTAGAGACGGGAGCTCACTCCGTCTTGCGGCACCCGGGTCTTGAACTGCTGAACTACCGACCTTCCACAGCCTGCAGTTCAGCACTAGAGACGGGAGCTCACTCTGTCATGCGGCACACTCGGGTCTCGAACTACTGAAGTACCAACCTCCCACAGCTCCCACAACTCCAAAGATGAACACCAAAACGAAGTGCAAGCGTCTTAACCACTTGAGCCACCACAGCTATAGCCTGTAGCCTGGCCTGTAGCCAGGCATTTTTTTGGTAGGTGGGCAATTTTTTTGTTAAGTAGGCTGGGCTCCCCCCAACCCACTGCTCTCGGCAACTTGCCAGGAGTTCCTCCGGGCAGGCTAGCCGACCTCCC